CATGTCCAAAACGACAGCCCAACTGGCTACGAGGTGGACACTAAAGATGATGATAAGAACACCGATACAGACGTTACCAAGTCTCCAAAAAGACAGTCAAACTAGCCACGAGGTGGGCACTAAAGATGATGATAAGAACACTGATACAGACGTTACCAATCTCCAAAAAGACAGTCAAACTAGCCACGAGGTGGACACTAAAGATGATGATAAGAACACCGATACAGACGTTACCAATCTCCAAAAAGACTGTCAAACTGGTTCTGGAGTTGACACTAAAGGTGATAAGAACACCGATACAGACACTACCAATCTCCAAAAAGACAGTCAAACTGGTTCTGGAGTTGACACTAAAGGTGATAAGAACACTGATACAGACGCTATCAATCTCCAAAAAGACAGTCAAACTGGCTCTGGAGTGGACACTAAAGATGATGATAAGAACACCGATACAGACGTTATCAATCTCCAAAAAGACAGTCAAACTGGCTCTGAGGTGGACAATAAAGCTGATAAGAAAACTGGTACATACACTACAAAGGTCAAAAAAGACAGTCAAACTGGCTCTTGGCTGGACCTTAAAGCTGAGAAAAAGGCCCAATGCGCACCAGAGATGAACGAAGATGACGATTCTGGGATGAATGACACATCACAGAAAAATGTCAGTTCAGAGAAAAATGTCAAGGTTACATTAGAGAATAATGACGATCGCATATCACAGAAAAATGCAAAGGTCACATCACAGAAGAATGACGATAGCACATCACAGACAAATGACGATGACACATCAGAGAATTATGAAAATGACGCATCACAGAAAAATGTCAAGATTACATCAAAGAATAATGACAATGGCACATCAAGGAAGAATGACCATAGCACATCACAGAAGAATGACGATAGCACATCACAGAAGACTGACGATAGCACATCACAGAAGAATGACGATAGCACATCACAGAAAAATGACGATAGCACATCACAGAAGAATGACGATAGCACATCACAGAAGAATGACGATAGCACATCACAGAAGACTGACAATAGCACATCACAGAAGACTGACGATAGGAAAATGAATAAAGAGGCACACTTGATACCGGTGACTTCTTCATCAGGAGACAATGCTACAAAATCCGAGAATGAAAACGACCAAGGCATGTCACGTGATAGTAATAGTGTTGAGCATCAACCAAATCACCAATCTGTCCAAGACACCGTCGCACCTAGTAATTCAAATGATATACATTCAGATGATGAATTCGGTAAAGAATCTCTACTCAAAAGAAATAAGATGTCCGGAAAGGGCTCTGGTGAAAACAAAACTGGCAAGTGTCATGAGCACAATCAAGGTGAACAGATAACATCAGAGCAATCCAAGACTCTCTGTGGAACTTTAAAAGTCATTTCAGCACCTAAAAAGCTACCAGAACGAGATGGACAAAAATTTGCTTCTAGAAATCTGAAAGGAAAAACACCAAGAAAACCAGAAAATGACACTACTACATCAAAGACAGAATATCAACCCACTGTATTCTCTGGGATTGAAAGTGTACCATTGCCAGACACTGCGAAAAGTGACCTTAACGCACCAGAGGAGATTATAGATGACAAGCAAAACATGAATGAAGACGCAGCAGAGAAGAATGACGATGGTGCATTAATGAA